GCGTCCCCTAGGGAGGGGGCTTTGCACACACTAGGTGTGAAGATAGCACTGGCCTTTTTTGTCTATAGAGCAAGGGTGTTTCGGAGGTCATCTTAACTCTTTGTTTCTATACCAGAGAGCAGGAGAGGTTTGCCTATGTCAGTGCAGAGATTATCTTCCTGGATTTCCTTCTGCATCAGGGAAAGTTATGAGTTGACAGGAAAAGAGCCACCCCACACTATGGCCCATTCCACCAGAACTCAGGCATCTTCAGCTGCTTTCCTTGCGCAGGTTCCTATAGTGGATATATGCAGAGCTGCCATGTGGTCATCAGTTCATACATTCATAGCACACTATGCATTCACTTAGCAGGCTAGAGAGGATGCTGCTCTGGGAGCTGCAGTATAGCACTCGGTCTTATAATAGCAAGTGACGTTCTCTGACACCACCTCTAGATGCTTGGCTAGGGAGTCATCTAATTCGAATGCACATGAGCAAGCACTTGAAGAAAAAATGGTTACTTACATGTAACTGTTGTTCTTTGAGATGTGTTGCTCATATCCACTTGGCACTCCCTGTCCCACCTCCCCTTCGTCAGCGTCTCCGGCAGGAAGGAACTGAGTGAGGGGAGGGCCAGCAGGGGTACTTGTGCACTGTTATGTTGGTGCCACTCTAGGGGATTACCTACTGGCCTGACAGATACCGCTGGGAGAAAAGGGTTCTGGAATCCGTCCATGTGGCCTGCATGTGCCTAATTCAAATGTACATGAGCAACACATCTCAAAGAACAACAGTTACAGGTAAGTAACCGTTTTTTCTGCAGTTTGTCTGTAATTGGATATTGACATTCCTTTGTAGAAGAATGGCTACTTTTAAGTCCATAATTGAGACCAGGCAAGTTGAAACGTTCCCTTAGAGGAACATATCTGATGTCTTATTTGTGTCCATTTATCCTTTGTTGTAGAGATTGCACGTTTTGGCCAATATACATGGCAGAGAGGCATTGCTGGAACTTGTTTGCACATATCACATTAGAGGATGTGCAGTTGTATGAGCCTCTGTTGTGGCTTATGTAATTAGTTCCTGTGATGGTGTTGCTTGTATATATGTGTGAAAGGGTTGACAACGGGATTTGTTGCAGGGGAAGGTTCTGGGTGAGTGTATCTGAGGTGTGCTGTGACTGCTGGAAAAGATTTGCTTTGGGTTGGTAGGGTTGTTTGTAATTGAGGATTGGCCTGTGAGAGAGTGATCTTTTTCCAAGATAGGTTGTAGATTGTCAATTATGCACTGGAGGGATTTAAGATAGGGGCTGTAGGTGATGACCTGTTGTGTTTTGTTGTTTTCCTTGTTGGACCTGTCTTGACGTAGTTGACTTCTGGGTACTTGTTTGGCTCTGTCAATCTGTTTCCTCATTTCCGCAGATGTGTATTTAAGTTTTAAGAATGCCTGATAAAGATCTTGTAACTTGTTGGGGAGCATTTTTACCCTGCCTGGCTGCTCAGTCATGGATTTAAAACTAGCTATTCTTCTGCCCCTTCTGGTCTCTGGATACAATATAATGAAGTCCAAATAGCTTGGAAGAGTCTAAAATATTGTTGGGGACTCATGGTTTTCCTCTCTACTCAACCTATATCATTCCTTGTCATTTCTTTCTAAACAGGTAAGTATTTAATTTCAAAAACAAAAAATGCCTCAAGCTTGTTAAACAACTAATTGAAAAAGGAATCAGAGGGTCTGTTACTAGCTGTGTTAATGCAGAGCTATCTTTTTTTGATCTATTATCTGTATCTTTTCCTACTTCTCCCTGGTTGAACTTTCTCCTAAAGTAGTAAGTAAAAATGTTTATTGTAATTTCAGTTTAAATTGCATTTGTGTTTCCATTATTCAGTATCATCAGATTGAAGTGGTTATCTAGATTTATGGTGCATTTTAAACTGGGTAAGAAGTTTCCTAGTGCTAATCACAGAAGTAGGTCTAGAGAACATGACCTATGAAGCCAGGCTTCGTGAGCTGGGCTTGTTTAGTTTGGAAAAAAGAAGATTAAGGGGGGGACATGATAGCGGTTTTCAAATATCTAAAAGGGTGTCACAAGGAGGAAGGAGAAAATTTGTTCCTCTTGGTTTCTGAGGACAGGACAAGAAGCAATGGGCTTAAAGTGCAGCAAGGGAGGTTTAGATTGGACATTAGGAAAAAATTCCTAACTGTCAGGGTGGTCAAATATTGGAATAAATTGCCAAGGGAGGTGGTGGAATCTCCCTCTCTGGAGATATTTAAGAACAGGTTAGATAGACATCTGTCAGGGATGGTGTAGATGGAGCTTGGTCCTGCCTTGAGGGCAGGGGGCTGGACTCGATGACCTCTTGAGGTCCCTTCCAGTCCTATGATTTTATTCTATTATAATAAAAATCTCCTGAAACTACTTGCAAGAGTTATGTTCAAATCTATAATAATTTACAGTGACAACGGTGTACAGTTTTGCTATTTCTCTGAATCTTAATCCACCCGATTTAGGCTTCTTAAGTCAGTGTTTCTCAAAGTGGTCTGCGGTTCCACTCCGAGAAACCTACTAACTGGCCACTCTGGTTTGTTTGTTTACTGGCTCAGCAGCCACAGAGTCTCATGGCTCCCATTGGCTCTGGCTTGCTGTTTGCAGCCAAGGGGAGTCATGGGAAGCAGCAACCTAACCCATTTTGCTTCCCACAGCTTCCTTTGGCTTTGCGGGTGTGGAGCCAGTAAATCAACTGGAGCAGCCAGTTAACAGGTTTCTCAGAGTGGATCCGTGGACCACTTTGAGAGAAACTACTTTAAGTGCTACCAAGATGTAAGGGTCAAATAATATGAAGCTGTCTGTCATGCTTATAGTTGCAAAACCTAGACACTTGCAAATTATTTAAAAAAAAAAACCCAAATTAGTTTTTGCTCCATGAACATGTATTTTTACAAAACACAAAGTTTTCGCTTTTTTTTCCCCTGTGTAAGAAGAGATTTCATGTGGTGGTCATATATTTAAAACTGGAATTCAGATATTTTAGGAAATCTACGTTTGCTCAATACTGTATATAGAACACTGTTTTTGATATTAGGAAAGTGGGAATTAATACAATACTTTATTATCTGTATATTTAAAGAAATTGTTCCATTTTTAAAAAAAGACATTTTTTCAGGCAAATGTTTGTGTGGTAATGTAACTGTGTATATTAACTGATGAGGTGTAAGTAGAATTATTAGCAAAGCTAACTGCATTACAAAAAAAGCTGTATATTGGTAAGAAAATTCAATTTGTGGGGAAGCATTGATGAGCCTTCATAGAATCATAGAATCATAGAATAATAGGACTGGAAGGGACCTCAAGAGGTCATCGAGTCCAGCCCCCCGCCCTCAAGGCAGGACCAAGCTCCACCTACACCATCCCTGACAGATGTCTATCTAACCTGTTCTTAAATATCTCCAGAGAGGGAGATTCCACCACCTCCCTTGGCAATTTATTCCAATATTTGACCACCCTGACAGTTAGGAATTTTTTCCTAATGTCCAATCTAAACCTCCCCTGCTGCACTCAAATTATCCACCCTTCTACAAATTATCTTTGATTGCTACTAGCCTGGACATCAGTGGACTTGGATGGTTTTCCACAGTCACTCCAATGTAATTATTACATGCCTGATTGGCTGAGTGTGTGTTTGTGTGTGTGGAGGTTGAATGGGAGAAATTGAGAATGACAGAAAGGGGTAAAAAGTTGCACATTTTGAAATATCATGTATGGTTGGGTTGCATGCAGTTCAAGCATTGTGAATTTTGTTAAGCTTTTGGAACCAATTATTTAAAATATTTTTTTAAATCATTAAATTAAAATTGTAACTGTGTAAAAATAATATTTTCTAACAATTTTCATTTATTTTTATGGCTACTATATTTTACCATTGTTTGCCTTCATGTAGCTGTCAAATGGTTATAGCATGCTAAAGTAGTAAGTCCAGTAAATCTGACAGCTTCTTGCAGAAGGAAATGAACGTATCTTTTCATGCTTGGTCAGTTTGACAGTGTTGCCAGAAACCATGGTTTTGAATCAAATAAAAATCACAATGTATTTAAGACTAATACAGATTTTCAGTCTTCCCTTTAAAAGGGGTTTAACTTTGAAAATCATTACTCTTGAAATCTGGCATTTGGAAAATTGTTTTGATTTTTTTTTCACTGTTGTAAGTAGTTTTTCACATCAGTAGCTCTTTGGAATGTGTTACTGTCTATTAGCTAATGAACCATGGGATGCACGCTCTTTTATAACCTCCCCCCCTTGCATTAAAATAAAAATGGTATTGGTAGAAGCCATGGGAAGTATGCATGTTTAAGTTCTTCCATTAAAATATTTTCTTTGGACTTGATAGATATGTAATATAATTGGTACAAAAAACAAAGAAGCAGAATTAAGAACATATGAAAATTTACTACAAGAACCAATGCAGCTTGTAAGATGTTTCTAATGTCTTTGACAGTTCTGATTGGTGACACTGAAAATTCTCTTATTAACATGGATTGCCAGTCTAACAAATTAAGAATATAGTTTAATTAATAAAAAGATTCACAAATAAAAGACAAGTAATACAAATAATTTATGGATTACTAAGATTGAATTATCCTTCAATTATTCTAAAAAAAATGAAGAAAACTTGAAATGTCCTGTACTTTGGAAGTTGTTGCCTAGTTGATTATTGTTAATATAAATAGATCTATGTATTTTTGTGATGTATCTTCTGAACCGTAGATTAACTGCAACTTGTTATAACATTAATGCTGCTGCCAAAAAAAATAAATCATACCATATAAGAACAAAATGGCATAATAATATTAGTATGTAGTAAATACTTTGATTTATTTTTCTTTTAGGGTGAAAAAATGGTACCCGCCCTATCACATTTTCACATGACCAATGCTAATAATATTTATGATATAAACAGACCTTGTGACAAGCAATTGTTATTAGTCATTTAAAATAAATACTTTTCAAATCACTTTTTTTCCAGAGTACTTTCAAATTTAAATCGGAGAGTGACATTCATCTGGCTGAACACCACAAACAAGTTTTGTATGATGGGAAACTTGCAAGTAGTATTGCCTTTACTTACAATGCTAAGGCTACTGATGCTCAACTATGCCTTGAATCCTCACCAAAGGAAAACCCTTCAATTTTTGTACACTCTCCACATGCTCTTATGCTTCAGGTTTGTTTATATTGTCTTTATTTTCATGTTTTTCTTAATGGAACTTACAGCAAATTCAGGCAGCCAGTTTTTTTGAGGGTCTGTTTCTGATTTGTTACATGTTGTTTAGCAATATGTGTATAACTGTACTTCTTCAGAAGTACCTCGTGTGTAGGCCAGACTTTCCTGTCACACAAATTGTAATCTCTGCGTAATCTACGTAGAGATAATATGGTGTGCGGCTTCAATTGCAATTTTCATTTAGCATTGCTTTAGCGCTAGATTAACATTTATGTGCTCTTAAATATGAATAGCTGTCATTCTCAGGTAGCTATTTTTTTTACCTTTTTCATGAGCCAAAATTATTAACAATGCATTGAATAAATGTGTAACTTACATGGTGAACAGTAGTTTGTCAAAGTACATGTATAGGGCTATGGGTTTCATGCTTACTTTATTTTCCAGTCTAGTGATTTTGAGCATATCACACAGGTCATTTAACCAAGAAATTTGACTAGGTCCAGTTTAACATGAAAATTGAGCAAACTAAAGCAATCTACAGTATTGTTAGTTTTTTTAATACCTTTTGTGGCAAAATGACTACAGGTACCTTACAGGTATATTTTACATCCGTGGATGGCTTAAAATTTTGAAGAGATTATCTTGATAGCATTTAGACTAAATTGGCAGAAAATAATGCACACTAAATCATGAGTTGCCACATTTTGTATTTCAAGCACTACTTCAACTACAGGTTGAACCTCTCTAGTCTGGCACCCTCGGGACCTGATTGGTGCCAAACTAGAGAATTTTCTCAACCACAGGAGGTCGGTGTTTTCTAGCAGCATTACCAACACTTTCACTGCTTACTGGGCTCTTAGAAGACATTTAGGGGTAAACTAGAGCTGAATAACAGCACAGAACACTGAGAGCCAGGATTGGTGTCTATAAGCAAACTTTATGAAACTTCAGGAAACTTGTCCACACCCATTGTAAATTTGTGTCGAACCACAGATGCTGCTAGATTAGAGGTTCAACCTGTAGTTTTTAATTATTAGCCATGTATGGTAAATGTGATAATGGCAAATATAAACTAAAATTGAGAAACTTTTTTTGTTTTTTAATATAGGATGTGAAAGCTATAGTAACCCACTCAATTCACAGTGCAATTCATTCGATTGGAGGGATTCAGGTTCTTTTTCCTCTCTTTGCCCAGTTAGACAATCGACAGTTAAATGATAGCCAAGTGGAAACAACAGTCTGGTAAGCTTCTTTCTGTAAATTGTTTGAAAGTATGCTAGAAACATTTTTCTTTTGGTAATTTGGTTAATATAAATTATGCAATATATGTGCTCTCTTCTTTCTGTTTCTGGCATGAAAACATTAACGTTTAAAATGGCACTGACTTATTCTTCTCTGGGGTTGCCCTTTCCCTAAGACTCTTCTTTGCTCTCTCTTCCTACCCTTACTCTGCCCTACCACTTGCTGCTCTCCACCCTTCTCAAATTCCTCCTACAACCACTGAATAGATGATTGGCAACCCTGCTAAACAGCTGTGACTGGTGGGTGCTGGGCACCTCTTGTTTTTATTTTTTTTTGATGTGCCTCAAATCAACCATGGTATTACATAATATCCAGCTGAAGAATGCTTTTTAAACTAAAAGAAATTCCATAGGAAAATGAAATTGATGTAGCCTGATAAAATTTAAGTTAAGTCTACCACAGGAGTATTTATAAAATATGTATATTTTGTTAATGCCATAGATCTTGCTTAATTAAAATTCCCCTTTAGTTGTCCTATCCCAAATTAACAAAGAACATAGCTCTAGTGAGCAAATCAGTTGGAGAAGACTGCCACATGCTGCATCAGGATAGAGATGAGAACACTGCTCTGAGTTATCCAGAATGATGGCTGTGGCTTCGTGCATATCGTTGATATTGAAAGGCTTGAGCTGTTTGATTGCAGAGATCTGAGCGAGTGCACTTTGAGAATTGCCTCTGCATGTTCTAATGTGTAGCACATATACAATGGGGATGGGGCTCGTCAAGAATCCTATAGAAAACAAGGTCTTGCTGGATTGGTAGGAGCATTCTCCCTTATTGATTTGAATGTTTAGTGTCTACACAAATGCTGTTCAACTCAAACCTCTTTCCAAGACTAGACATAGGCACAGGGGTCGTCTTACCCTGCCCAGAGCATTGGCTAGATTTTGTTTTAATTTAAACCTTTCTGTATTTTATTGTAATTAATAACTGTGAATAATGTCTAGACATTTTAGCTCTGTAGGAAGTGTATACATTAAATTTTCTGTTCTGTTGTATGGTTTTAATTCTTAAATACAGTAAATGCATTTCAAGATTAGAATAAATGAGAAATTGGGGATTTTCAGTTTTTTGCAAGTTCAAAGGTATTTTCGAAAGAGTGGTCAATAGAGTAATTGTTAAACTAGTATTAAAGTAACCCCAAATTTTGACAGATAAAGAGTGGAAAATGTTTATTTTTTTTCCATTTCATTGTAAGATAAAATATATGTATTTCATTGTATTTTTAGCAACAAATTCAGTGTGATGGTATAGTGGCAAATGATGTGTTCCTTTTATGGTGACTTGAGCACCTTTCACTGAAATGTGGTACTGAAATAGAAATTATTATTTCCAAAAACAAAATTGAAATATATTCATATATGCAATGTCTGTTTTTCAGTGTATATAGGTATGACTAATCACTGCAGTTTCCCTGAAATACCTATATTCAGCTTGTACCCAGCGATATTGATTTCTTCCCACCATACTTCAATCTCTCCATCTTTTACTCAGACAGGGTAGTTGTATACTTCAGTAGGTGGGATACTCACTCACTTATTGCTAACATGGTTTTAATTATGTGCTTTACACATTATGTATCTTACTTTGCTGTTTGTGAATGCAGAAGTGAAAAAATTTTCTATTTTAAGTAACTGAAGGGAATATGCATTTATCTATTAACTTAATAGCATAGGGTATGTATACACTGCGACCCTAGTTCAAGCTAGGGTGGCTAATGTAGTCATTCGAACTTGCAAATGAAGCCTGGGATTAAAATATCCTGGGCTTTATTTGCATGTTCCTGGGCGCCGCCATCTTTAAATGCCCGGTAGTTCGAACTCTCTGCCCGCAGCTACATGCGGCACAGGCTAGGTAGTTTGAATTAAAGCTCCTAATTCGAACTACCTTTACTCCTCCTGCAATGAGGCAGGGAGTTCGAACTACTGGGCATTTAAAAATGGCAGCACCTGGGAACATGCAAATAAAGCCTGGGATATTTTAATCCCGGGCTTCATTTGCAAGTTCGAATGACTACAGTAGCCACCCTAGTTTGAACTCGGGTGGCTAGTGTAGACATACCCATAGAGAGAAACAAAATGAACCATTCTAGTTTTAGGAAGCTTTATATGGCATGGCCTATTTTATAGCCAATTTATTAAACTTATTTTGTAGAGAATAAAATAATAAATTGCCCCAATTCTTTTGTTTGAAGCAGCTCAGTGAAATTATAATGCATGTCTTAGAAAACCTCTCTCTGTGTGGTATCCCTAGTGAAAACAAAAATTCAATTTCAAATGCATATATCTATTTATGGAGTTAGTGAAACTGTAACTATAAAGATACTAGCTTTACATGATTCGGGCAATCATTCATTTTTAAAGACATTGACTTTCGTAAAGAATCAGATTTAATTTCTAATCAGAATCTGGAATCTGTTGCAGTAAATACTATGTTAACATACTGTACCAAGTTTCTTTTCCGAAGAACAAATAATAAAAGACCACAGGTAGGTGACAGATTAGGAAAGAAGTGTAACAAAAATGATCAGGTTGATAGGTACATGTTGTAAATCCATTATCTTTTTAATTTACTTTTTTTTGGAAGATGAAGTTGGGATGTGGATTATGGCAGGATTAGGGATGTAAAATTTTGATTATTTGGCTAATTGAATAGTTGATAAGGGTGCTTCTGCCTTTGAAGTGTAGCAACAGCCGCTTTCCTATTTTGTGAAAATTTAGAGAGAGATTATTACAGTATACTTATGAAAATAGCAGGTCATTTCTCTTTAACAAAAATTGAACACCATTTTCAACTGGCAATAAGCCCAAAACCGAATATGTGTAATCTCCCTGCAGAAGGTAAGTCCAAATGACTTTTGCTGTCACCTGACCATTTGGTATGGGAAGACTGGCTACAGTCTCTGTGGGGCAAATTGAGTGATGCTTTTGTAAGAGGTCCATTAGAGTAACTGGAAAGTCTCTTGCTTTGTGTTTTACTGGGAGCCTTCAAGGAGACCTGATGCTCCAAAATAAATATTGTAGACTTCCAATCTTTTTTACCTTAGTTTTTTATTCTTTGAGAAAATAAGTTTAATAAATTCAAGTACTTTTGCTATAGAAAAAATGCCATAGCATGTTACCAGTCAAAGGTCTCTATAAAGATTTATGGTGCCAACAAGTTTCCTTCATTAAATTTTATTCCCTCTGAAATGCTGATACATTTACTTCCCCAAAAATGATATATTTAGAATAAATAAAATTTTAAATTACTGTATTGGGAATTCATATCAGAGCAACTAAATTGCATTCTCACATGCTTGTTGAGTTTGTTACTGTTCCGTAACTCTGCCTGTTCAGTTCTTGAGTGGGCCAAATACTGAAATATCCAACAATATTAATGTCTAAACACTATAGAAATTCTTGTACTTATATGCTTAGAGAAGATAGCAGCAGTACTACATGATCTGCAGTGTACGCTAAACTCAGTTGTTGGTCTAATTTTATACCACCCATCCATCATTCGTTGTCCCTTTCAGAAGGGGGAATGCCCAGCTTGGATGCTAATACTTTTTTCTTTTCCTCTTGGCTCTAGAAGATAATGGTTATAGTAGAAAAGTGTGTGCAGTTTCAATTAGATATTAATCTACCAGCAAGGGAGGTGGTATTCCTGCGTATGTTGTGGTACAGCTGCAGATCCTTTTGATACAGGTTGTACCTCCCTAGTCCGGCACCCTCAGGAACTGCCTAGTCCTGAATCAGGGAATTTGCCAGACCAGGGAAGGTCAATTCAGTGTCTGCTTTCTCCTGTCCCCTCCCCAAGAATTCTGCTTTTCCCTAGGCAGCTCCACTACCACCCAGGACTTGCTGCCAACTAGGGGTCTGTGCTCCCACTGGTGGCCAGGGGATTCACTACTGCCCTGGTGCTCCCCACTCCTCTCAGCAGCCCTGCTGCCATCCAGTGGCTCAATGCTCAACCAGGCGGCTCTGCTGCCACTTGAAGGGCTCTGTGCTCCTCTAAGCATTTCTGCACTTTAACCTCCCTGGCCCAGCCATGCTGCTGCCCTCCACTATTGCCCAGCCATGCTGCTCTATGTTCCTCCCGGTGGCTCTGCTGCCCTGTGGCTACATCTTGACCCCCTAGTTTGGCAACGCTCCCTGCCCTAGCCCGAAAGTCCTTATGAGTGCTCTCACGGGGATCACCTGATGATGCTGGGCCAGGGAACTTTGGATTATGGAATTTCAACCTGTAATGTATATTGGGACTGTAATATCAAAATCAAATGATCAACATTACTGCCTGCCTTATATTGGTGTTGCTATTGGTGTTAATTCAGACGTACTTCTCAGCATTGACATTAATACTGAATTTGACAGTGTGTGAAGTGTAATCTTCAATGCTAACTCAGTTCTTCTACAAATCGTAGGTGACGAGTGCTAATTCAGATAGTGTTGCTGCTTTTGGCAATAATGATTCAGTATATCTAAAGAAAAATTCTGAAAGATGTAGGAGGATTTAATTTGGTTGGTAGATTGTATTAGTGTTAAAGCACTTGGGGCAAAATAAGGTTTGGATTCAATCTTTAGAAATGACAATCCATGATTGCAGACTACATACTTTAGGCAGAAGAAAACAAGAAGAATCATAAAGATATCACATATGTAAGAAGTAAATACAATGACTGAAGCTGTTAAAATTTTCTAAATACTGATTTTTGACAAAGCGGGGATGAATGTGACAGTTTAAATTCATCCCCTTTTTTCAAACATCTCTAACAACATTCTTCTGTATCTTTCAATCAGTCCAGATTGAAAGGATGCTGTTTGCCTCTCTAAGTAAAAAGTGTTAGTGGGAAAAAAGCCATGCATGCGTGTTTCTGCCCTTTCTTCATCTCCTCCTCTGACTTAGTTTCCAGTGTCTGTCATGCTTTCGTCAAATACCTTGCAGTATCAGAAACAAAA